TTTTTTTTTTTTTTTTTTTCATTCTTTTCGCAGGAGAAGAACATAAAGAAGAAATGAGGAACAAAAAAAAAAACACATTTCATCTCTTTTCTTTCTATTATTTTTCTTCGTGACACTACTGTTTCTCCTTACCTTCTCGTTTTCTGTGTTCGTTTTGTTTTACTTTTCCTTCACTCACTTAACTTCCTCTTTTCCCCTATTTCCCCTTCTCTCTCTCTCTCTCTCCTTCACTCACTTCAAAAACATTGTCTACAATATCGTTATTGTTGTTGTTGTTGTTTTTTTTTCCCCATTGTTCTCACAATGTGAACTTTCGTTTTCCACTGGTTGCTTTCCAAACCTCACTCTGAGACGTTCTTTTTTTCCCCTTTTTTTTTTCTTTCTTCTCTTTCTCATCATACCACAGTTCCATTAGTATGACTGCCCATTCTTCAATAACTACCATTATTATTATTCTTGTTGTTGTTCTTGTTGAAGTCTCTCCGTGAGCAATCGCTCAAATGTAGGGAAGTGTACCCGCCACGTCTCATCATCGCGGGCGTATTCCATCAACTCCTCCAACACCGATGGCGCCGTGAATGTCCGCCGTCGACACAACTGCCCAATACTGTGTGCGGTCAAACCGAACTGCAGGGCGGCGATCTGCAGTAATCGTGTTGAGCAGTGTACCACTTCCGCCGCAGCCTCCGCCGAGGTGTTGTTGATATTATTATTATTATTATTATTATTATTATTATTATTATTATTATTATTATTATTATTATTATTATTATTCGTGTTTGTTGTTGTTGTTGTTGTTGTTGTTGTTGTTATTGTTGGATCTGCAGATAAGACGTGATAGACAAGTGCGGCATCCCGCTCAGCGTCCAGCCGGGCAATATACGCCCGTGAAGCTGCGGAAAAAGAGACTTTTGTCTGCGGCCAACACATCCACTCAAAGTCGGGATCTGCAAAGCCGGAAGGACAAATATAACTGTGATCAATTGGAATAAGATGCGGTGTGTTGTTGAGGTGAGTGGAACTCACTAGTATATTACCGCCATGGCGATCACTGTTTAGTGTGCGAATATCGAAAATGGCAATGCGGTGAACTTCCTCCACGGGAAAACCACCCGGAAGGACATCCGCCGCATCTAAGCAATCCGGCATGAAGTACTGAAGACTTCCAATAGGGGTATCATCACTCTCACAATCATCCTCATCATCATCATCATCATCATTATCAGTATTATCAGTATTATCATCATCACTATTATGATGATGATAAGTATTATATTTCTTTTCCATACTCTTCTCATGATTTCCCTCTTTCATACAGACAGCAAGATAATGGTCTATGCTTCTACTTGTATGATTACCAGAGGAACTGTTATTGTTATTATTATTATTGGAGGAGGACGAAGAGGAAGAAGAGAGACGGTGATGTGTACTAGATCGCACGGCACGTACTTCCAGTGTAGGCAACACCCCTGCACTTCCCTCATGGTCCAGTAAATATGCAAGCACCTCATGTACACTGCCTGTACCAGGTGTAAACTCGCCTATACGTTCACTTGTATAATTACCATGTGGATTACGAGCTTGTCCAATCTCCTCACAACGGGGTTTAAATACAGCACTAATCCTTCTCCCAGTATTAGTATTAGTAGTAGTAGTAGTTTTTGTTGTTGTTGTTGTTATTATTCCTCCTTCTACTCCTCCTGATAATGGTGATAATGATGATGATGAGGTGTTCTTGGCAGGGGAAACCATGTATGTTCCACCAGCACTGTGTGCATGGAGATGAAGAAACGCCGGTTTATTTAAAATTTCAGATAAAGACTTCACAGGAGAAGTCGAACGAGAAGAAAGTTTGCTGTTGTGGGTATTATCAACGCTATTTTCATTCTTCTTACTGTTAATATCTGTATCATCATTCTTATTCTTCTCTTCATTTAAATCAAACGCATGTCGACGCCATGCAGTATTCTCTTCAGACGCAAATAGCCACTTATTTACACCACGCCGCAATGGTTTCAGAATAACACACGGTACAGTTTCACTATTTCTTCTTCTTGTTGTTGTTGTTGTTGTTGTTGGCTGATGTATCCATATCTCATTATTTCGCTCTTTTTCTTTTAACTGTTCGTTTTCATTTTCTTCCTTCATTTTCCTCACGTTAAAACGTGTTGGGGGCAATTGTGTCTCTGTTATGTGCCCGTGAACCGTCATTTCCGTCAGTGCCCCACTTGAACACGTACTCCTGTCACTCCACGCCTCTCCCCAGTCCACCAGGCCATTCTTCTCATTCACACTTCCTTTTGTTGACGTTGTTGATGATGTTGTTGTTGATGTGATTATTGTTTTTCTTGTTATTGTTGTTGTTGTTGTTGTTGGTGGTGGTAGTGGTGGGGGTGTTGATGATGATGATATTGTGTTTGGCCGTGTTGGTAGTGGTGTCTGGCCACGGATATCAACGCTGTGGGTGTCGTGGAACCACATCATGCATTCAACAGAAATTAAACACAGTACGAGAGGCTCTTTTTTTTTTCTTTTTTTGTAAAGTTTCAGGTCTTTACTCACACTGGCCGTAAATAAAGAAAGAAGAAGTAATGATTCTTTTTTTTTGTTGTTTGTTTGTTTGTTTACGAGAGCGCGTGGCTAGAATTCGCGTAATAATAAAAAGTGTGTAGCTATGTAGATATGTATATATACTGGTAAATATATATAGATATATATATATATGTGTGTATATGGTTTTGTTATATTTACATCCCTGTGGAAAAAAGAGAAAATGAATAATAATAAAAAAAAAAAAAAGAGAGAGAGAGAGAGAGAAAAAAAAAAAGAAAAGTATATTCATATAAATAACAACGAACTACAGCTCAGAGAAATACTTTCATGTACAGAATAGAACAACAAGGACAATGAGATCTTGTCCTTGTAAAATAAAAAGAAAAGGAGAAATAGAGAAGAGAAAATAACAAGATGTTACCATCAGGGCTTCTTTGAGGCTCTCTGTTGTTCATATCTCTCATTCATCCAATCCCACTGTTCTTTAGCCCCTTGTCGATCAACAAACATCGCTAACGCAGCAGAGGCACAGCAGAAGATAAGACCATAACGGTACATATTTGCCTGATACTTCACCCAAGTAGACATATTTTCTTTTGTTTTTTTTTTTTGTCTTTTTGCTGTTTCCTCTCTTTGTTTCTCTGCTTATATATTTTAGTATTGATTCCTTTTGTTTTCTTTTCTATGTTGTTGTTTTATTGGTGTTCAGCGCTCCCCTTTGTATGGACGACACTTCTTCCCTATGTGATTGAAGAGGAACAGCAAAGCGTACACACACCTTAGATATCCAGGTGGAATACACGTAGATAGATAGAAAGAAAAAGAGAAGGGGGAAAAAAAAAGCAAGATAAAGTAAAAATAAATAAAAATAATAATAATAAAAAAATAGAGCACATCATATGTAGATCAGACAAGAAGAAGAAATAAAAAAAAAAGAAGAAACAACAAAACCAAAACAATAAAAGAAAAAATAAATAGATATAACGATAAAAGGAGAAGGGGTTAAGTGAACCTAGTCGTTATTCATCAGACGATTAGCTTCCATTACCTTCACGGTCATTGATTCCTGTTCCGCATCTCCCAATTTTGGCATACCGCGCAAATAGAGATAATCCCCCTTCTCAATAGGACATAAGGCCCGTAATGCAAAGAAACCACCACCACTATTAGGGAGACTCTTCTCTACAGCTAATGTTTCTTCCTCTGATAAAAACATTTCACGACATTGTTGTTTAAGTGCCTCCTTATCATCATTGTATGGAAAGAATTGGACAATAGTGTTGTGTAAACCGTCCTCCACCTGTGGGACGGCGTCTATTAAAGGAATGAGTGTTGGTACAAACATATCATCCGCACTGGCTTTAAAGAAGTTTGTGCCTGGAATAAAGAGACGAATGGCTTCTGGTTCTATTGGCACTGCACGGAGGTGTAAAGCGGCAAAACTGCGAAATAAATTCTCAAGAAACACCTCCGGATCTTCACAAGCGTCTGTAGCCATTTCTGAAAAGTAATGATCCACAAGTCCACTCTCATCCCCACGTTCTTTCGATACACCATTGGCAATACCATCCCTTCCCCGTGTGTCCTCTAACAACCATTTAATATAAGGAGTAAAACTACTTTCCTCAAGTGAGGCAATACGGCACATCCAACCAGCAAGTACCATTTCCGATATAGAGGCCCCATGCAAAAAGGAACACCGTTCATTGTAATTCATCCAATTCACCTCCAGTGGAAAGTTATGTGTGATGTGGTTGCTGTTGAGATTATACATATCCCGGGCCACAACGAGGAAGTTAAAGCAGGCTGTATATGGACAGGTAAGAATAGCCTGACCAGGTCGTAGATGTTGGGCCGCACGCAGACAACGGGCGTAATGTATAGAAGACACTACACGTACATTTCCATTTCCTCGTACATAGTTGGCTTTACACCACACACGAAATGCATCTACGGTTTCTTGTCGATACAACCAAGTTCCAACTTCTTTCACCATTCGTGGTGTCTTTGTAGTGTCCCGGTGGACTGAGAAGGCTATACACCGCTGTGGTGAGAGACGCAACATTGCCTTTTCTTTTTTTTTTCTGCGTCGATAACTATTGACTATTGACTATTGGGTAGTATTGTTTATTATTATTATTATTATTATTATTATTTTTTTCTTTTGATATTTTGTTTGGGAAGAAAAAGAGGGAGGGAATGTTTTCTTTTTTCTTCTTCTTTTTCTTTTTCTTCTTTTATTCCGCCTCCCTTTGCCTTTCACTGTAGACCCTCTATACCTCCTTAGCTGTAATGAAACACAAGAAGAAAGAAAAATAAAAGAAAGAACAATGCCATACAAGCAAAGTAAAAGGGGAAAAAAAACAGACATTTATATATAAGTCTAGTTAAATTCCAAAAAAGTAAAGTGAGAAATATATCCTCATTTTAAGAAGTGAGAAATGCGTCATTTGAAGAGTTCATGGCATTGCATAAGCAATGAATAGCAGTTTCCTTTTTTTTTCTTTCTTTTTTTTCTTTCTATAGTTTGCGGCATTTTCTCCTCTCATTCTTCATACTCACTCTACCCACAGAGAGAAAAAAAATACACATACGGGCATATATACACACATCATACATGTAGGTACAGTATTCATCCCATCGTCTTTTTTCTTTCTTTCTTTTTTCTTTCCATCTTCTCTTCAGTAGACTATCTATCTGTGCTTTGATACATATCCAATTCTCTCTTTCTCTTTCTCTCTTTTTTTTTTTTTGTTTTTATACATGTACCTCTAAAAGTCAATAATAATAAAAATAGTAATAACTAAAAGGATGGGGAAGGAGGGAAGCAGGTCTCTTCGCCCAACAAGGGGAATCATAGAACTGTTGTTGTTTGTTTGTTTGTTTGTTTCTTGTACATTGGGGAACGTGACGCATAGAATTGAAGGACGACAAAACGGACATAAATAAAAGGTGCAATCATAATCAATAATAACAAACAGAGAAAGAATAATTAAAAATAGAAAAAGAAAAGAAGACCTGCACACAGACACATAAACACAGAAAGAAAGCGAGAGAGAGAGAGAGAGTCCATTAGCAATAACTATCATTACTTTATCGGGGGTAGAGAACAACTCTCACTGGATGCTGGCCTAGATGTCCCTGCTAATGCCTGTTGCAAAGACTCTATAAAGGCCCTCAGTTGACGTATTTCTGTGCGATTATCTTCCAATTCCCGTGGTGCTTCTGGTCGTTTTCCCACTTCGATTGGAGAACTACTGGAAACCACACTCGCCAGAGACTTCGCAGTGGGATTTTTCCCAAGACGCTCTAAACGATTTTGTCGTTTTGTCTCTTCAGCAGCGGCAATAGATAAATTACGCAGGTCTGTGATTTCTGCCCGTAACTCATGAATTTCACGAATAAGAGAGAGATTCTCTACCATCATGGCAGAAACTTCACATCGGTGTTGTTCCTGATCAGTCTTACATTTACGCCGCAATGCCTCCATGGAAGTACTTAAGTACTCCAATTGTGATTTGAATTCTCCTTTAATCTCTGGATCCACCTGGGCGGCACGGTGTCCATCACGAGCCACAACATGCCGTTGATATAAACGTTCCACCACTTCCCGTAAACGTGCAGGATCTTGCATGGCTGGTGCTAATTCACCAACATCAGTCTTTACACGACTTTTGTATGTCTCAAAATCTTTCATTTGATTTAGTGTCTGTTTAATTTGAACTTGTTGTTGTGCTAAATCTGCCTTAAGTTCTTCAATACTCTGTCGAAGTGTAATGTTATTCTGATGTAAATTTTCCAGTTCAATATTTTTCTCATTGATACGTTTATGTTCTCGTGCAATTTCCCGTTGTCGTGGTTCCATTTGTGATTTAAGTTGACGAATACGGTAATCTAGTACAAATTTGTGTTTCTCAAGTTCTTGATTTAATTTTTTCAAATCATATATCTTCTTTTCCTTCTCACCAATAATAGCATCTCGTTCTTCAATATCCTGATGTAATTGTGTCATACGTTGATTCAGTTCGGACAACTGTCCTGTGAGTGCCTTCTTTGCACTTTCCAGTACTTGTAACTCATTTGCATGCACTTCTGCCTCCTTTTCCATTCGAAGAGCATTTTTCCGCATAATAGCGCCCTCTCCCTTCATGCGCAGATATGTCTCCCTCCCATTCTCCAGTTCCCGCTTATTGCGCTGCTGTATACTCTCCAGCTCGGCGTCTGTGTCGAGTTCCAGTCTCCGCCGCGCCTCGACGTTCGCCTCCTTCGCCCGCCGGACCTGCCGCTCGAGCCGCTCGAGTCCCTCGCGCCGCTTCCGCACAACGTCGTCGAAGCGCTCCGCCTCCTCCCGGCGCTCGCGGGCGAGTTGCGCCTCGAGGGCGGCGGCGCGTTGGGCGTGGCGGGCGCGGCCCCCGTCGAGGGCGACTTGGAGGTCCCCGCAGGCGTCCTCGAGGCGCCGCACCTCCGCCTGCCCGGCCCGCTCGAGCTCCTCCAGCAGCGGCACCGCCTCCGCCTCCTTCTCGAGCTTCACCGACACGAACGACCGCTCCTGCTCCGCCTTCGCCGACCACAGCGCGGCGTACTCCGCCTCCAGCGCGGCCACTTCGCTCTTGAACTCATCCGCCCGCTCCCGCACCCGCGTGTTCTGCTCGTGGTTGCGCCGCTTCTCCTCGCCCTCAATCTCCGTGCGAAGCTTGCTCGTCGCAAAGGTAAGGCTTTCAATGGCAATCTCACGATTCTCAACATCACTCGCCAGAACAAGAACCTCATCACCATAGTAACCACTGTCACGCTGGGTCGTGCGACCATCCTCACGAACATCAAAAATAAAAAGTGTTCCATCGCTGCTAACCGTATAAACAGTACTTTCATCATAGGAAAGGGCCATACGAGTAACTTTGTTCATATGTGCCACCACAGGAGCTTCTTGTATACCAACTTGTAAAGGAAAAGTCATAAACTTTATAGATCCATCATCCATACCAGCAAAAAGTAATCGTTGTTTAGGAGCAATAGCAAGAGTTGTAAGAGAATTATCACGAAATTCATATTCAGCTATTGTTGAACCTCCATTTATTTCATTAACATTAAATCGTTCCATCTCTCGTAATACTGATTTACAGTGTATATCTACAACTGCAGATGATGGTTCTCCTACAGCCCATACTTTTTTATCATCTGATGCAATTACTTGATACTGATATCGTTTATCTGAATGCTCCGTTTCCTTTCGCATTTCACTGATATTCCAATTAATAATAAGTCCATCAAGAGAACAAGAAGTCATCCCATTATCTGTAGGATAAGGTGATGTAGCACTCCATTGAAAACAGTGAATCTTTTGTGGATGACCACGTAATTGTCCATACAAATCACATGTAAGAGAATTATATAAGTGAATAAGATTTCCATGCGATAATGCAAAGTATTTTCCACCTACTGAATATTGTACATCTGTAACATTACGTAGGTTTAATACACGGTGTTCATGAAGGCAATTCCATAAAATACTCATAACGCGAACCCTATCAGGAAAACAAACTACCACAAAAAGACCATTAGGATGAATAGAAACTGCACCTGGTTGAGATGGAAAATATTGACACATCTCTAATTGATGTGTAGCAGTATTCCAAATACGAACACTTTTATCAACACCAGTAGTAACTAGATATGGTCTTCGTACACTACAATCTACTCCAATAATTCCACCCACATGAAATGATTGACATATAGGAAATAATTGTGGTGGATCATCTATTGCTCGTCTTGACCATGTTTGAGCAAAATTAAAAGCGAGTATTTGTCCAGCATGAGTTGCTAATACCATAGTTTCTTCCAAATGATCAAGAGCAAGTCTTACCACACTGTTTTCTCGACGTGTATCTACTCGTATCATATCACTACGTGGATATGAAGTATGAGTTTCTTCTGCTGAAGGAGATTCTGTTGCTTGTGTTACACCAGTATTTAAACTAAACATTGGTTTAGGATTTTTTAATACTGGACTTGAAACTGTACCCTCAGCTGCTCCAGAGTTTGCAGAAACCGTAGAAACAGGAAAAGCAGAACTAGTAGTAGCAGAAGTATTACTAGGTTTTGCTGTAAATTTCTCTGGACTAGTTGCTTTTTCTGTTGAATTATCACTTAATGGAACAGGTACAATATACACTATGGTGTACTCTTCATCCTCTAGTCCTTCTCCAACCTCATAAATGGCAACTGTTCCTTGATCACTTCCAGCAACAAATCCATTTTTACTTCTCACAATAGAAAGAACAGTTGGATTTTCACTTTGGGCTATTGTAGGAGGAGGTACAGGTAATAAACGTTTAAAGACACCACCCTCAATAAGTAATAATTCACCTGCCTGAGTAGATGTCACCACACGTTCACCTGAAATCCATGTATGAGTTAAAAAATTGGATGTACGCTCCAGTGGATATCCAGCTAATGGTTGACTCTGTAGAATACCATCCACATACCGGTAGAACCGCATCACTCCCAATCCAGACACCGCCATCAACAAAGGATCCTCTGGACAAATAGATACACATGAAACAGGAGGAGCTGAAACATTTGTGGTGTGATCTCGTCCACGGGATTCAGAAGTAGAAACAGAAACAGATGCATTCGGAGGTAAGTTTTCATCTACCATAATATCTGCCACTATAGAAGTAAAGGCAAGTGGTTTAGATCGTTCCCAATTCCAATAGTAAAGTTTCCATTGTGGTCCACCGGCTTGGGTAACCAAATGACGACCATCCGAACTGAAGTCCATGGCAACAAAGCGGTCACTATCTACATCCTGCACGGTTAATACTTTTCGCCGTTTTCGGGTAACGGAATCAATGATTTGAATTTGCGGTACTGCGCCTCCTTCAGCAACGGCGATGAATTTCTTATTGGCACTCACCGCAAGTGCGGTCAAACCAAAACTGCGAATACCAGCCTCAAAGAAACGTTGTGTGTTTGCACCGAGATTGTGGACTGCCACTGTTTTTCCCACTGGATACATGAGAGTTCCCTCCTCCACCCAATTGAGACATCCATACACGTCTGGCTTTATTCCGAATGCATGACGCTTCACAAGACTGCGGCCAGAGCCTTCTCTCGGCTCCACAAGTGACATTTTTTTTTTTCTTCTTCTTTACCGGCCTGGTAGCTAATATATATATATATATATATATATATATAGACAGAGAGAGGGAGAGAGAAAGAGAGAATAATGGATAAAAATACAACAATAAAAATAAGAGTGGGGAAAAATGAGTTAGTAATAAGTAGTAAAACCCAAGGAGTTTCAGAGAGAAAACAAAAGAATTTTACAAAAATAAAATAAAAAATAAATAAAGAAAACCAAAATAACAAGCAGAGTTCTTCATGTATAGAGTGGGAGAGAGATTTCTCTTCATTTTGAACTCTTTTTCCATTGTTTTTGGTTTTATTTTGTTTTCCTTTTCTTTTTTTTTTTTTTTTTGTTCTTCCTCCAGAAAAAGAAGCATTAACACATTCACCTCCTCTCCCTTTATCACTCATTAACACCCAATAATAATAACAACAATAACAACAACAATAACAATAATAAGAACTCCATCTTATATTATGATGTAGATAATGAACCTGACTTATATTTAGCTCCAATAAAGTAAAACACACCACGTGCTAATTCATCTGGTAGTTGTCTAAACGCTAAATGGCAAGGAATCTCTTTAATATCTTTATTTCTGTGCTTGGCATCCGCAAGATACTCTGGCACCGGTCGGCCGGATTCTTCCAAGTCTTGAATGATAGACTTTAGTGTACGGAGTGCTTGATCATTGGGAGGATGATCCTGTCCAGTATCCATATATTCACCTCTAATAAAATCATCTACGAGAATTGCATTACAATTACAATTACGTACACTTAATGCACGATTCTCTACTATCAGTGTATCTTCTACAGGACGTTTAAGCCAGAGGATATTCTTTTCATAGTAATTATCATGTGTAAACCAATCACGATTCCCTACAATATATTGTGAAATACGTACACCTGTTGGATCAATCACACCAAGTACTTGCCGCATATATCTTTCACTACACGCTGACCACAATATCACCTCTGCATCTATAGATGAAAGATAATCTAATAACTCTGCCAAGTATGGTCGTGGTATCATACCAGCTTTCATACGAAATGCCTTATCTCCATATGAGACGATCGTTTCATCCACATCCAACACTATAGTGAGTCGACTACGATAAGATTTCTTTTTAGGTCCAATAAGACCTAAATGACGTTTTTGATCTTCCTGTAATTGCCATAACTTTGATCCTCCTGCGGCTGCAATGATAATAGTACCAAATAAATAGTATTGTACTCCCCGGTCTTTTAACATGCGTTTCCAGTACTCCTTTAATCGTTTAGCTCCATAAAAACGATCATCTGTGTATCCATTCCATGCATTCTCTTTATTAGCATACATGTGAATACTGGACTGAGCCCGTGAGAAGATATTGCTGACAGTAGAAGTTTTTTTTGGTGGAATTGGCATTGCAGATGATTGAGCAACGTTTCCATACTTATTCAATGAGGAGGTTGGAACACTGCGACCCAACCGCCACCAGCACTGACGATACATTTAATAGAAAATAGAAAAAAAAAATAAATAAAATAAAATAAAATAAAATAAATAAATAAATATATATACAGATTCTCTCTCTCTCTCTGTGGTGAGATACGTATATATTATTATGTGTCTATGTTCAATGTATGTATGTATGTATCCCTTGTTGTTTGTTTGTTTTTTGTTTTTGTTTTTTTTTTTTTTTCGTTTTCCTCTGAGTAAATATGTAAACTAATTATACAGTGTAATTATCCTCAATGGGAATATCTTTCCTTGTGGTCTTTATTGTGTTCCCACAGAGATAGAAGGATATAGATAGAGAGAGAGAGAGAGAGGCAAACGCAAGAAATATGAGTATTTCTCTCTTTCTTCTCTTTCCTCTTGTGCTGTTTGGGAATACATCAAATAAGAAAAAGAAAAAGAAAGAGAAAAAGATAAACGTAAAACAGTAAAAAAGAAGAAAAAAGAAAACAGCAACCAGAAGAGTACATTTTTCTTTTTTTTTTTTACTTTTTTCTTTCCTGAGACCTATGCAATATCACACCCATCCCAAACTCATCAGATAATAAAAAAAGAACGTACAATACACACAGAGAGAAAAAAAAAGAAAAAAAAAATGAAGAAAGGGAGATGATTGGTAATATATGTTTAAATAAATAATAATAATAATAATAATAATAATAATAATAATAATAATAATAATAATAAAAAGACACATGTATCTGAAAGACCCCAACAAAGACACACACACATATATACTCTAAAAAAGAAGCCATCCTCCTCTCTCTCATTATATCTCCTTCTCCTTTTTCTTTCTTTCTATTGTTTGTTTCGTTACTTTTTCTTCTTTTTTTTCTTTTCTCTGCTGTTTAGATGCCTCTGATCGCAGCTGCTTTAACCACCGCCACGATCCAATGCCCGTAAGGAAGTTCACTATATAGATTGAACAGCACACCAAACACAAATCATGCAGAATAACCGTCAAGATAAGAAAAAGTCCAACAGAGACCACACAACTCACAGCACTCATTAGAAAAAGCAGCCGTGGATATCGACAGACGGCGAGCTCGGCAAGATAAAACAACATTCCCACCGCAGCATTAGACACACTTGGCAAACCAAAGAGTTGTGTAATGGCACCGTACTCGGAGGCAAACACACGCGTGCAGGAGAAAACGCCAACATCGCAGTAAGCACGGTATGGAATGCCGAGTTGTTGGGCTTTGGCGAAGCGTTGCTCCACGTAATAGGCGTAACTGGAAAGAAGAAATCCAAACATCACCACAATGGGTAATAACCGCAGGAAATTCATCACTAATAGACTGAGAGGGTAATATATATATATATATATAAGTATGTATGGGTGGATGTATTCTCTTTCTTTTTTCCTTTTTATACTATTTCCCTTTCGTTTTATTTCTCTCTCTCTCTCTCTCTCTCTCTCTCTCTCTCTCTCTTTATTTCGTTTTGGTTATGTTTTCTTTTCTTTTCTTTTTGTTGATGTATTGTATTATTTCAGTCTGCTGTAATGAAGAAGAGAAAAAAGATGGAAAAATGAAGAATCAAAATAACAGAGATACATTTCTTCTTTTTGGGGGGGGTGGTTTGTTTGTTTTGTTTTTTTTAAAAGAAAAGAAAAAAAAAATACAATGAACAAAATAATAATATTCATTTTGTATAGTTAAATCACGGAATCATACACTCCCGCTTCACTACTTACACACACACACACAAACGCACATAGAGAGAGTGAGAAAAGGAAAATAAAAAAAAAAAACATAGAATATTTATATGCACAGAGACACAAAATACACAAATGCAACAGAGACTATAGATGTCTCTCTCTCTTGCTCTCTCCATATGCAGTATTATATGTATGTGAAGAAAGAGAGAAAAGTCAAGAGAAAAAAAATAGAAGAAAAATACAAGGATGGGGAAAAGAAACCCCGACCTTCAAGAAGAAAAGAGAGATGATAATAATAATTATTATGATAATAATAAGAGTTGTGATCCGCCTCTATACAGGGAGAAATATATATATCCGCTCCCTTCCTCACTTCCATCCTCTCTTTATGTACAAAGTATAAGGATCGCGTCTAGTTGTTTATTGTTGCGGTTCAAGCAAGTACATCAATTCCATGTACACCTCTACGCAAGCAATCCCCAACTAAAGAACGCAGAGAAAAGAAAAAAAACGAAGAAATACCATGAAAAACAAAAGAGATGCGATTGTTTGAAGGAGCGTCAATGTATCGTCTTTCATTCCTTATATCTATCGTATTTATTTATTTTTCTTTCTTTCCTTTTGTGTATATTTGTGTGAAGTTTTTCACATTCGTCCTTCCTTTTTCTTCTTTTTCCCGCACTCCTCTCCTTTATCATTATTCCGTTTTCTTCTTCTTCTTCTTTTCTTCATTCTTTCCTCTTCCTTTTTTCCATCTTCTTCTCTCATACCTATATATATATATATATAGATAGATAGATAGATAGATTCTCTCCTTCCACTCATTCTCATCCTGTTTGTTTTCATTCCTCTCCCATGTGCATGGCGTGTGTGATGCGCTCTCGCAGCAGTCCAGTGTCGAGTGAACCGTCCTCGGTCATGCAGCCGTCAAATCCATAAATGCGATCCACCGCAACATCATTGTGAAAGAGTACACAGCACGGCAGTGTTTGAATGCGCAGCCGCTCCACAAGAAAAGGCGACTTCTCCGCATCGATCTTCACAAACTTCACGGCCATCATCGACAGGGCGAGTTGTTGGAGGCGGCTGTCCATCACCCGGCAGGTCTCAAAGTCCTTGTGGTAGAAGTGCACACACACATCCTCACTCCCGCCCTTCTCCCGCACAACAGTGTTGAAGAACTCATCTTGTGAGATCTCGCGATATTGCCCGTGTTGTTTCTGCCGCCACTCCGCCTCCTTCGCGTGTAATTTCTGCATTTGGGCCATGCGCTTCCGGCGGAGTTCCAACAGTTCATCATCGTCGTCGGCGGCGGCGGCGATATCCTCCTCGTGCACAACGCCGCGCTCCAGTCGATCTTGTATTTTCTCTGCGGCGGGGTTGTACACAGGCACGCCGTTGTTGCGCTTCGGCATATCGTCTACGTGTCGACGGTGTGTGGGGACGACATCGTCCATATCGCGATTCTTCATATATTCCCGTGTGGACATTTCTTCAATTGCCGAGGTGAGGTTTTGATTGGCTTTGAGGTTGGTGGCCTCATTCACCATACCACTGCTTTTTCCAGAGCCAAGCATTCTAGCAAAGAAAGAAAATCTATTTTTTGTTTGTTTCTTCTTTCTGTTGTTGTTTTTTCTCTCTGCTTCTTCTGCAGCCCCCTCTGTGTGTTTCTTCTGTCTTTTGTAGAAGATCTTATATATATATATATATATATGTATATATATATATTCACTCAGATAGACACAAATGGGGGGGAGAGAGAGAGAAACAAAGAAGAGAAAAGGCAATAGATTATATTATATTACATATATAAACATATATAATAAGGATAATAAATAAAAATAGAACAAGGGTCTTAATGGGGAGGGTTATCAATGTAGAATAGGAATGAAATAACAGACTGAAAACGAAATCTAAACCGCACTTTGTAACGTTATTTTTTTTTTCTTCAACTTTTTCTTATTCTCTTTTTTTTTTTTTAATTCTTCTGTCCTGTCATTATGTGGATAAATCCACAAAGAAAACAAAAAACTACTTTGAACACAGACAAACACACACACACACATAAAATAGAAAAAAAAAAAAAACGCATCTCGATTTCTATTCACACACACACACACTTTCTCAATGAGAGAAACAGGGGTTTCTCTTCATATACCAAGTTCCGTCTGATACTCCCGCAACTGCTGTCGAAACCCAATATTAGGTGAAGCCACTTGACGTTTCTGTTGAATAAGTGCAATTGCTGCGCCTGCTGATAGGCGTAATTTCTTCATGAGATATGCTGCCGCTATAGTAGGAGCACGAGAGATACCAGCCCCACAGTGCACTAACACCGCAGAGTGTTGATCTATAAGGGCTTTTTCAATAAAAGCAGATGTTTTTGGAAAAAACTTTGATATTTTATATGCCGTATTATCCTCCGCTGCAATTGTCATGTACACAAATTCTCCTGGAAAACGAGGTTGTGTACCGATACAACATAAAATATGTGTAATGTGATGTCGGGTGAGTAACGCCTTATCGGTGGCTGGATGATAAGAACCCACAAAGAGACCTGGCACAATCTCTTGCATTCCCTGCATTGTATATACTCCTGTTAACATGAATGTTGGCATATTCTCTGGTTTAGGACCCCCTACAAATGAGTCTTTACTGCAGAGTTCATCTACTTCACTTGCCTTATGAGAGTAGACCTGCAACAGTGCGGTGTGAAGAGCTTCCCGGGTTGCACACACCGCTTCTTTCTGTATTGGGAGATTTGTTACTGCCATTCGAAACTTCTCAAGGGGCATTGCAACTTCCTCTGGAATAGCGAGCGGCTTGGAGGGAAGTGAGATACCATCTTGCTTCTCATCACTACTGCTATTACATTTTATCCTGCTGCTGCTGTTGCTGTTGTTGTTGGATTCTCTTCCTATACTTGGCATTGAAGAATCTGTGGAGTAGGCTTCATTGTTTTCTTTACCCAATGATTGTTGTTGTTGTTGTTGTTGTTGTTGTTGTTCTGAGATGAATCGAAGGACGGCAAACACACGCTGAAGCTCAGACGACATTTGTGCTCGGCTTGAGGACATAGATTGGGTGTCCTTAACTGCTGATGTTTTTCTCTCCAGAGTAGCCATAGAGCTCTCGTAAAGGGCTATCAAACTAACAAAGGAAAAAAAAAAAAAAAAGAAATATATGAAACACTATTTATATCGCTATTGAAATCATTACTATTATTGACCGTTGAATAGCCAAAAGAAAAAAAAACGCCTTGGATAATGCAGAGTTGCTTCTCCGCTTGATTTCATACAATATACACTTCACTTGGTTTGATTGAATATGGGTTTTGTATTTCGCACTCGTTCCATGTACCACATCAACTATACATGAAACCCAATAAAACGTTCAAGGGGAATAAATAATAATAATAATAATAATAATAATAATAATAATAATAATAATAATAATAATAATAATAATACACTGATAATAACACACTGATAATAATACACTGATATAAAAAAAAAAGAGTGAGTTAGTGATCCACTAAAATTTCACTGTTTCTCTCAAGCAATAAGGAAACAAGCTCCTTCCTTTGCCAAACAACAATCGAAATCTCATGCTGAATTTCCTCTCTTAACCCTCTCACTGATATTGCTGCTAAGTCACTTGAAGCCTTAATGTATAGAGTAAGTGCTGGTAAACACCACCAGTGTTTGTGTAATCGTAACTGTTGTATATGTACAAGCGGAAAGGCATTAGATCCAATACATAAGAAAGATGGTGTAACTGTTAGCATTGTTTCACCAATAAGAGCAGCAGTAACCCCAGTAGTAGTAGTAGTATCACCAAGAGAGATACTTGAATGGATGCAGCGGACCTTGCAAGTAAAAAGAGAGTCCTCTGACAAGACTGGTACGAAGTGTTTCTGAAAAAAGGTTAGATTTGAATAACGTTCATCCAATGCTTCGGTAAAGGCATCACGAACAGCAAGTAAAGAGTTGGAAGTTTCAAATACAAAGTCTTCATGATATATTTTCATAGCCCGTTTAAGAGCAAATATAAAGTCTGCAGTTAAAGGTTTCAATTCATGGAAAAAAGGTGAATGATTATAACGGTAGTTATGTACCATGATGATAAGAATAGAAATTGCAATTGGGGCGTAGTCCATATGCAAAACCAAAGCGGCGTTTAGTAAATGACATTGCCGCTCTGAAGAGAGAAGAATTCGTTCACAACGCAGGCGTTGCAGAACCTCCGCCGCAATCACACGATCCCCCACATTTGTAGAGAGTATTTCCCATACATTTCGTACAGCAGAAAGTTCACGTCGTTTTCTTTCTTGCTGAAAAGCTGTACTCATAGAAAGATTCTTTAAAAACTCTTCTATATCTATTTCTCTTGAAATATTTATTTTATGCTCATCCGTATTATTCATTTGATGACTACTGAAGTGTGGTATAGTGGATTCGGCTGTAAATAGACTCTTTAGAGGTTGTACAGCACACACCTGTTGAAGTGTAGTAGCAAGTGTTGGTGATGCCTTTACGAGTTCTTCCATATTTATTCGTTCTTTAACAATACGCATCAGCATTAGAATGACTAAACGCACTATGGTAGCAGAATCACGATGTAGACAGACAAGTTCCTCAAGTGTACACACTAGTGGTTCACATTCACGAGGAGGTGGGAGATCTATTTGCTGCAGTCGTGAGAGAATAACTTCTACATGAGCCTCATGTGGAAAAATCTCCACACTCCGAAGTCTACGCCACATATTTGGATCTACAGAAGAAGAAAGATTTAATACTAACAGTGATGATGTTTCTTTTGGTACTTTACTCTTTGCAACTTCATGTGAAGTGCGATGGGCAAGTTCAGATAGTGTTTCCCGCAGTAATCTCTCAAACTTCATCATCTGTGTTGTGATCTGTGAGCGCATTAATAATCGTAACTTCCTCGGTATAGAGATAAACACCACCGCCCGTACGAGTCCACCTTGTATAATCTCCACAAGTAACTCTACGCGAAGTTCACTCCCTACAAGAGGAGCTGAAGGGGCTACACTCATTACATGAACTAAAACACGATTACCAGCAGCCACAACAACAGCGTATTCATATGCATCAAGACTCTGATCTTTACGATAACGCATTTTGTATGGTGTTGTGTAGTAAGCAACATGTGGAAAGGTAGTTGGTACTTCTAACCATGTATGTGTGGTGGGATAATCACTATCACGTCGTCTAGAATGTAGGGCTGGCATAAATGCAAATGGACTAGAGTGATGAGGAAATAATTTATTAAACAATTTCATCGCATCATTTTCCATAAACTGCTGTTCACATGATACACCTTCCCTAAGAATTTGTTGTAGTGGTGAAAAGGGTGGTTTTGATGCTGTAGTAGTAGTAGTGGTCCCTTCACCATGTTCATATAAGAGTGCCACACGACGAAGGGAAGTTTCACAATATTCGTAAATAGTTGATAAATCTGCATTAGGCATTGGGGCCATAGTAACTATCCCTGAAGACTCTGCCTCTGCTAACTCCTCTTGTTGTTGTTGTTGTTGTTGCCCTTTGTTGTGAATACTACCCACCCTTTCCTTTCTCAAGATCTCCTCTTGTGTTAATGATATCTGCACATCACTTGATGACAACATCAAGGGATGATCACTACTATCATGATAGAGTGATCCAGCTTCTGTACTCACTACACTTGAATTATGCGTTTTTGTAATTTCTTTTTCTCTTCTCATATGGCCACCATCAGAAGAGTTGGCTGTAGCAACACTTTCAGAAACCCCTGAACAGACTGTGGAACAGGTACTACTAGTACTACTAGTACTACTGCCTGCATGAATAAAATTAACACGTGTCTCTGGATTGGATAGGTTTTGTGATGACTGCACAATGCAATCAACATCCATATAATCCTGCCTATTTTCCATTTGAAGACGCACACAATGTGGCACATCTCCACCAGGAATTAAATCCCTTAAATCTATTAAACATTTCGCCAATGGAAAGGAGGAGACACGAGTGTTTGGGTCTTCTTTTTTTTCAAAAGAAACTTCATTCATAGTATTCTGAATACTAGACTTTTTCTTCTTCCGTATAAGAAGTGTTATCTCTAAACGTAGCATCTTTTTTTGGTAAAGTACCGCACCTGATTCATATTTACTACTACTACTACTACTACTTTTCAACTTTCGACGCATTTTCGCCTCAAACACAATATTATCCATACCCGTTAACGAAAGTACTATCTGAGTACTTTCTGTCGAACCATTCATGATGAGATGCAGGGGTAATTGAATAGAGAAGCATGCACGACCTTTAGATGATGTACCAACCAACCACTTCACAAGGAGCTCAGCACTAGCTTCATACTTCTCCCCACTCTTACGCAACGCTTTCGGAGGACGGACGACAAGTTGTATTGGGGTTAAAGAGAAACGAAGGCAATCACGTGATGATGAATGGTTTGGCATCTCCCTCTCAAGTCACTCACTAAGAAAGAAAGACGCACTACAGAAAAAATGAATGTTTTATCGCATATACCACCTTAAAACAGATAATAAAAGACAACACTATAAGAAATAAATAGCTTGTATGCACACAACATCATAATGGGAGAAAGTGAGTGTGAAAGAATATATATGTATAAGATAGAGATAGAGAGAGAGAAACAAAAAGTCACATGATGACGAATCCACGGAGTAAACAATTCAAAAATAACAATAATAGCAATAAAGAAATAACAACAACAAAAAAAAAAACAAGAACTCGGTTTCTCAATCCTAACTCACAACAGAGAAAGGCTTCAGGGTTGCCACCCATTTTGACGTACAGGAGTGTCCTCGTTTCCACTGTATCCGCGCTGCAGCAACCACCACCACCACCCCTCTCTTCCCTATCTCGACCAGCAAGCAGCACTCAACTCTTCCTGTTAAACACCCTCCAACACTCCATATCGGTAAGCGCAGACAATACCAACACGTACTAAGGCCCAACGTGCGGTCTCGCGAGGTATTTCTCCTTCTATCCAATGAATGAGCTCCCCAAAGAACTTCAAAGCCAAAGTAGAACACAAATAATGCTCCAGCAAACAGGTTCAGTGCCAGATACATTCATTCTGCCCTCGCACGTTTATCATCCTTCAGAGTCTCCCATCCCCATCCAACACACACACAGGGAGAGAGAGAGA